ATCACACGTTGAGTTGTGTGAAGAATGTCAGAATACAAGTGGGGAGAGAGAGAGAGAGAGAGAGAGAGAGAGAGAGAGAGAGAGAGCAGGTGTAAGGCGTAATCTAGTGGGAGGAGAGTTCTTTAAATTTTTGATCTGTATGAGAAATGGAATAAAAAAGAATTTGGGGCAAAATATGGGGAAAGGGAGGGAAGAGAAGGAGGAGGGTGGTGGCTGGGCTTTTGCGGAGGAGGGAGCGAAAGACAAGGAAGGGGGAGGGATGGAGGAAAGGATGTTGGCTCAGGCACTTGGAGACTGCAAAGGGGAAAACATCATGGGGCCCTTAGTGGTGACAGCTGGAGGAGGTCCGCTACTGCTGAGCTGGCTGTTGGTTTCTTCAGGGTCAAAGCCACTAGGGTCCTCCGTGTTCATCCCCCCAGGGTCTGCATTAGGCAAGACCGTATTGAAGGAGTAGAACGAAGTTGGAGGACTGGCACTGCCCAACTTCAAGACAGTGCAAATCTACAGTCGTCCAGACGTCGTGGTCTTGGTGAAAGACAATGCAACCGGATAGGAAGCACAGAAAATAGACTCCTGGAAGGACAGGCAACGGATCTTTGCCAAAGGTGCAAAGGCAATGCACTGGCCCCCAGACGAGGAAAGATAATCTATTAGGAGGAAAGGATCAAGGCCAGGGTGGCCGAGTGCAGCTGGAGGGATTCGAGGACTCAGTAGGGCTCAGTGGTGCCAAGTCCCTCAGGCCATGAAGAGATCAGCGTTCGCAGCAGGGCAATATTTTGAGATGTTAACTGAAGTTACTCTCATTCACCGCCTCCTGGAACCTTCAGGTGGCCCATCACTCTTAGAAATAACTGCTTCCTGTACGCACAGCCTGGAGGGGAAAGACCTGATTCAACGAGTACAAACCTTACAATTCCTGTGTCCGAGTTCCAAGGCACACTCTTAAAAGTCATGGCAGGAACAACTACCTCAAAAGGCAGCACGCTTCAACAGAGTTTCTGAGAGAGGCAGTGATGTGGCCACATTTATCGAGCATTAACTGTGCACTGGACAGAGCTCTGTCCGTTGCATTTAGCCCTCAGGACAGTCCTGAGGTAGGTAGTGCTGTCACCATTATATGGTTGAGGAAACGCAGGCACAGAGATGGACATTAACTTCCCCAAGTCACACAGCACAGCCCAGACTTGAGCCCAAGAAGCCAGGCTCCAGATCCCATGCTGGGGTTGGTGTTTGTGTCCAGGAGTCTGGCTTTAAATCTCAACATTCAAATGGGATGGCGCTGCCCCCAGCCCACCCAAGATGGGCCCGGGAGGCCTATGATGGGAATGAAGGAGGGACCAGAGGTGAGGGGGTGGGGAGGAGCCTCCCCTCATACTCCTGTGGGAGCTCCTGAGTGGGCTCAGTCAGTGTGTGTTGTCCAGGCTGCCCGGGCAGCATCAGGGGCCCAGAAGAGGAAAGGAGGGGCCCTCTGAAGGTAGGGGAAGGGGTCACGGATGGGACCTCCTTGGAGGGGCAGACACAGGGTGGGACTTCGACAAGAGCAGTAAGGGAACCAACAGTCTGAGAGAGCTGCCAGGGTGGAAGCTACAGGCCCTTCTGTACTGTGTTGTGTGGTGGGCAGGGGGCTCTGTCTTGGCAGGAGTACCTGCAGCCCAGACTAAGGGACTCTGCTGCTACTGTTTTTCCTCCTGACTCACAGCCTCAACCTTGCCCCTTAAATCTGTCCTCAACCCTGGTCCCTCTCCTGCTCAAACATCTCCCATGGCTCCCTATCACCTACAGAGTAAAGTCCATACTTGGGCTTTGAGAGAAGCAGCGATTGGCACAGGAACAGTGCGGTCAGCCAGAGAGGTGGTCAGGGTGTCCAGCTCAGAGACCCCAGCCCTGGCTCCACCCACCGAGTCCCACCCCTGGATCCCCGGAGTCCCCAGGCGTCCCCTGCTGGTTGTCGAAGAAGCTCAGGTAGAGGTGACAGCACAGTTTTATTCCCGGGAATCTGCAAAGGTAAGTGGATGGGGTAGAGGGGTCACTGCTGGCCCGCCTCCAGCGGCTCCACCCGCAGCCAGAGGCCGCCCTCTGCGCGCATGATCATGTCCACCTTCCTGCGCGGCTCCGTGTCGTCAGGCAGGACGCGGAAGCGCAGCAGCGTGAGCGCCAGGACCACCTTCATCTCGGTCATGGCGAACGTCTGCCCGATGCAGTTCCTGGGGTGGGGGTGGGGACTCTGAGCATCCCGCCCCCATCGCACCTGCAACCTGGCCTGGGGCCCCCCACCCCGACCCAGAGCAGCTTGAGGGGCAGAGAGAGGAGCTAAGTACGCCCTGGATACGCCCCCACAACACACACACACACACACACACACACACACACACACACACACACACAGCATGGGACTGCATAACCCCTAAGCCTGGCCCAGACTGCAGCCCCCAACTCACAACATCAGACAGCGGAAGGGTCCCCTCTCAGGACCCCATTCTATGGACCTTTGCCCTTGACCTCGGGAGGGGGAAGGGAAGGGGACCTTAACTTGTGACCATCTGCAGCTCCCCTTCACCCCAGATTTTCCCATCCTCATGCCCAGACCCCTGCACCCATCCTGCACCCCATTCCTGCCTGGGACACACTCCACCCTTACCTGGGCCCTGCGGAGAATGGAATAAAAGCCAGAGGTGACATCTCCTTGACGTTTTCTGGGTCGAAGCGGGAGGGGTCATACACCTGGGGGTGAGAGGGAGACAGGCTTGCTGGGCAGGTCTCCCAGGACAGCCAGCCTTGGAGATACAGATGAGAGTGTCTGGTAGTGGGGGAGAGAGAAGACCTCGGATTTCGCTGTCAAAGCCCTTCCCTCTGTAGGACCCCTGGAATGGGTAAAATGGGGGGTCAGGTAGCACCTCAGGGTCTGGCCACACAGCTGGGTTATGATGAGTCCCGATAATATTGATGAAGCAGATAACACCTGTGGGAGGGGAGGGAGCAGTCAGGACAGGCCCCCACTGCCTGATGGGCCCCTCTTCCTGCCCAGGAGCCTCCTCCCCCTGCCGTTGTGGGCACCTTTGGGGATGACCCGGCCATCTGGGAGCACAATGTCCTGGGTGCAGCGTCGGGAGATCACTGGGATTGAAGGATGCAGGCGCAGACTCTCCTTAATGCACATGGTGAGGAAGGGCAGCTGGGCCAGGTCGTCCCTGTGGAAACACCCCCCACCCAACAATCATTAATGTCTAGGGAGCAATGACAGAAATAGAATCCTCCAGCCACTGTTTCCCAATGAGACCTTTTCTCCCTATAACAAAGTAAGTTGCACAGGAATCAAACACTTGAGAATTATAAAAGCAGAAAAAATCAGAAGAGCAGAGAATGAGAAAAATACCTGAGGAAATTTAGCTAGTTATTTTTAAAAGACTGTTCTGAGGAAAACACAGCATCCAGAAGCCAACTACAAAAAGTTAACAAATGTGCGTAAAGACATTTTTATGGCAAGAAAGCAAAATCAAAATACAAACGAATAAGAAACAAAATACACAGATCCAACGTTTGACTCTTACTTATCAATATACTAGAGATACTAGCAAATGCAATGAGACAAGAAGAAAGGAGGGTAACACAGTTTGAAATGGGGGGGTAAATGTATCATTTTGGCAGATAGTGATTTTATTAGAAAACACAA